ATATAAACATATATATATAAGATAAATATATGTTAATGTTAGACAATGAACGTGGACAAATTGAACTATTTAATCAAGTCCTTACTGCAGCTGCACCCCACTGTTCATCTGACATCTGAAGTGAAACTCAATGAACTCTGTAATCTGTACTTAAGCGTTTACACCTGGGTGAGTTCCCTGACGTTCCCTGTCTCACTGACTGTGTCCACTTATCACCTGAACCACTGCTCATTTCCTTCTCTTTTTCCGTCTCTTTTATTACCTTAACATCGCCACCCTAATTATAGACTTTGAGCAAAATAGATGATAGGAGTCGGAACCAAAGATGTCAAAAAATAACTTTACAACGTAATCGCACCTTTACAGATAAGAGTTAAATGACCTGGTGCTCCATAGACGTCCATATGACACTTTTCACACATGGGAGACAGAATCTGGGGCAGCAGCTGAGGAAACACACGAGAACACAAGAACAGGAGGGTGTGCTGACGGAACTTCAGATAGAGAGAGAGAGAGAGAGAGACCTTTAAATTCTTGTTAAATTATTATTATTATAAACCAGAACAACCAAAAAAACAAAACAAAAAACAACATCATACTTCAGAGAAAAGAATACAAAATAATAATTAAAGAACTAAACTAAAACCATGTGACCAGGAATTGTTGCTAGATCAAACACAACCTTTTCAAGTCCTTATCTAGCTCTCCACATAACTATCCATAATCTTTACCATCATATTCCTTTTTCCCAAATTACACGAAAAGAATTCTTAAATAAAACATAAGCACAGTTAAAAAAAAAAAAACACTTCCTTAGCTGAAATGTCTGCTGGTTCAAATGCATGGAAACCATCTCCTGTCTGTTTTACAGCACTGGTCTAAATTGGCTGACAGATGAAGGAAATGAACCTTAAATGCTGCTGAACAATAATGTTTGAAGGGTAAGGATCGAGGTATTAATGTTCCCTCGAGCTCAGTGATTTCCAAGGACCATTGGACCTGTGTTCAAGTAATAATTAAATTATAAACATATCAAATAACAACACACATAACTAATTAAAAGCTTTAATTAAAAAGTGTGCATTATGTGGGCTGACCTGATCAAACATAACAATCTTTTTAATGCTAGAATTTTACCATATTTTGAGGCAGATACATTCCCAGCACAGGGCAACAACATGTTGGATGTTTTCTTTTTTTCAGAATCATTTAACATTTGTTTATCCAAGTTAAAGTTTTGCTGTAGAAAGTACAGTGCATGTCAGTCCCTAAGCGCTACGCATGAACACCATCCAAAGATAACAGACATTCTTCTCTTTTGTTTCTCTATTGACAGCATTTTTTGATGTTGTTGTTTCCACACTGAGTTGTCTTCTTTTCTGTCAAGCCGGCTTTCCCTTCTACCAGCAGCGTGCAGCTGCTTCAAGCCATGATTGCACGTCTTGTTTTTCCGCAAGAGAGAATGGCAGAGTGAGAGCGGGGCTAATACCAGACTGATTCAACCATGGGTGGTGTCAACTTTCCATTTCAGGGCTGTGGGTAATATGTTATAAAATCCTAATGCCAGCCTTTATATATGATGCGTCCTAAGGCCTTAAATGTAAGAAATGTATTTACGAGACGTCATTCTTTGCCTACAAAGAAAGGCTATCATAAATTGTGCGAAGTAGCAAAGTTCACTGTGATCCCTAACAAGTAGTCATGTGAACAAGTGCCTCTTTCTTTTTTAAAATTTGATTAAAGCCTGTACTTTAAATATACCTTCACATATCTGCAGATTCTACAATACTGTCTGACTGCTCCATGGTCACGTGTCATGTATTACAGCCTTTTAAACTGAGCAATATTGTTTTTAAAAACACCTTGATTCTTCGCTTACAAAATCCTGCATTTCTATCCAATCATCTTATATAACATTGTTTTTAAGTCAAACTTTTCCTGTGTGTTACAGACATCAGACACACTTTCGGAGAGAGAGAGAGAGAGAGAGAGAGAGAGAGAGAGAGAGAGAAAAAGATCTATGCAAAAGCAACACAAAAGCAAAGGCTTGTGTCAAACTGTGTCAAATCATTTTCCAGAATACCACTGTGGCAACCCCTGATGAAGAGCGACACCAAAGCGGCACTAAACAAACAAACACAATATATATATTAGCTCATTTGGAAGCAGGGAAATTTGAGTCGTTGTTGTTTATTGATGTAAAAAAAAAGTCTCAGCAGCTTACTCTGCAGTAAAGATATCATGCAGTGTGAGTTAAGCCCGACTGCTTGTTCTCCACACAACATGCTTAAAAAAATTACAATCACAGCAGTCTGCTTTTCTAAAGCCTTTTGTCTCTTTTATTTTGCATGTGGCTGTGTTAATAAATCCCCAGGGATATAAACATATTAAAAAATACTGTAGAGACAGTGGGATTGAAAGAGGGGCAGACATCTCCCGCCTCCTCAGCTACTCTTAAATGTATGAACTCCATCTTCATGAGGTTGACACTTGTGAGGAGTTTATAATAGGGGTGGAAAAGTGTTACAGTCAATGTTTATCCCATGATCGTTTTGCTGTCCATAAATCACAGCGATGATAAAACATGTATCTGCAGGATGACAACTCACATTCACCAGTCCAGCCTATATTTACAGGCACAAAGAATTATATTTAGAATAAAAGAATAAATCAAACAAGCACACGAACCAACAGTGGAATCGAAGTCAGAGCTATAATTTACTGATGCAGTCAAGGAATGTAAATTATGAGTGCGATAAAAAAAGTTCATCCTCACAGTGGTGGTCTGTGTTCGTGCAAGAATTGTTGCCATTCTGCAGGAGAAGAATCATTTCCCCTCCTGTGCGTCAACCCAAGAATTAGCATAAAAATGCATCGTGCTGCGAGTGAAATAGAGCAAGAAGGCAAATGCAGGGAAATAAGTAACATCAGTGTGGAATCTGGTCCATTTCACTGGTACAGCTGCCCACTGCACAGGCTTTTATCCTGATGGCTTTTCTTTTAGAACTCTGCCATAACTCAAAGCTCACATTTCTAAATTTGTGTTATTTTCTTTTTCCTCCGCAGCTTTGCGGAGTGCATTTTGCAATGCAATGAAATTGTGTTAGTCCACTGAGTGGATTCTGTGCACAAGGAATAATTGCTAAAAGTCACTGCGCTTAATGAACTTTGATTTAGACGCACAATCAAGAGAATCCATCAAGTTTTTTATGTTCTTGTCCTATTCAGGCTTTTCTCTGATGGATCAGTCTTTTTTTTTTTCAATCACAGCATAACACAAAATCACATCGAGAGGATCGTTGACTTTAAGGCAAACGTAAGATATGGAACATAAATCTGATGCTTGAGAGCAATATGTATATTACAGTATAACTCAGAATAATGTCTATTACAGAATATTACCAATAAGACTCACCATAAATCAACACATATGTGGAGGTTTCAATTTTTCTGAAATTGTATTTGAATAAATACATACAATTGGAAAAAGTAGGGCACATTCAGTATCTCTAAGCCTGTGTCAGGTGATCCAATCACAAGCAGTGTAAAGTCTTAAAGACTTTTTGTAAAGTGTTTAACATTTTGAAAGGATCAGTTAATGAACTAGTTTATGTTGGTTTTTTTTTTACTGTTATCAATTATTATTGTTGATTATTCTTTCCAAGCTGATGACATGCCATAAAATATAGAAAGAAGAAGGCCAATAAACCAATTCAAACAATCCAAGTCCTGGTCCCTACTCTAAACTTTTATGTGACCTTGAAATAATAGTTTTCCAGTTCCAGTTAAAGTACAAGGAATACATTCTGTAGAGCATGCTGTCTTGAACTGTAGCGTCCTTGGAAAAAAAAAAGAATACAGAATACAAAAAGAAAATGAAGTCATGAAGAATTCTTCAGGAAATGTGAACTTTCTTATTTTCTTACTGGGCCACATAAAGTGACAAACAATCAGTCACACATATCACCACACCTGTAGCTATGGTTCACCGGAAATTTGTCTTTTTGCTTCAAGGCAACAGTGCCCCTAACTGTGTAGCACACGTTGAGAAACAAAATATAAACATTTATATTTATTCCTAACAAATTATTAAATCAAGTCTGACCATGAACAAAGTATTTAATGATATATGTTCAACCTTGACGATTGGTAAATTATGTGTCTATTATATTTTCCAGAATTCCACTGAAGGTAGAAAAGAATAAAAGTTTTATGTAGCTTGAAATCATTTGGTTTGATGAGGTTTGAAGTCGCCTTAAAGAAACAGCGTTCTATTTCATCTTAAGGAGCATTTTTTAAATAAATGATCTTCAAACCACAATGATTTTATTTATATTCCTTTAAAGATTATAGTTCTGCAGGCAAATCAATATACAGTAAAAGAATGAAAACACTGTGATATCCAGAAACATAGTTTCCTATTATCACTGCATTTGGAGACAAATACTGTCGAGACTGTTGTTATTATATTGTATAATCAAAGAGACTGAATAGAAAAGTGTGACAAAAAATATCGGCAAATTTAACGTCCAAATGTTATACCGGTCTCCAATTTATTTGATGATTTCGAGGACTCAAGGACATTTCCAGGACAGAGACATTCCAACAGTATATACTGTTTAAACACAGCAGTGTTAACACTGTGGCTTCTTCAAACTATGAGAGGTTTCACAGTGCAACGTTTGAAATAATGAGCATAAATTCTGACAGGGTGTCACACTGTTTGTGTTGAGACCACAGTTGCCTTCAGTGTGATAAATATGTGTTAAAGAAAAGCCAAGGCATGGCTAAGTCTCTTTAAAATGAAGACATCGACCCCTCGGATTGATGCCGTGGCTATAGACGTAGCTCATAGAGCAGCTATCTGCCTGATTCATGGCGTCGTCATGAATAGAGCGTTTTCATCGATGGCCAGCAGTTAGAAGATCTGAGGGCGGGGCGGAGGGGGTGTTCAGGAGTGTGGAACAAAAAGAAATGTAAGACGCTGTGATGCGCAATGGTTCATCGTCAAAGCCGTTTTAATGTTTCACTTGGACAAAGAACAACAGAAAAGAGAGAACAGACCATTGAACAGCGAGAGCCAGGGGAAAAGAATGCCACTTGACTTAAGGACAATCAGTTATCAGCTTGTTTTTCTTTTTTTTCTGCACATCACAAAAGCATGTATTTAAACTGGAGAGCGTTTATACCGTGCAAGACAGAAAACAAACACAGCACAGCTGTTTGGCAGTTTACAACAAATCAAATTTCATTTCAAACGGGAACAAAAACTGAAACTGTGAAAAAAAAAGTGCACGAATAGGCCTACGTCAGTCTACAAAGTCACAACTCCAGAGCAGCTCCACTTTCAGCATTGTTACAAATACTCAAAGCCTTAAAATGATCGAATGCTAATTTTTTTGAAAGGCTGCACGCACTAACAAAAACACAATATTGAATTGATTTGACATTGCACAGCACTATAGATTTTATTCCACTTCAGCACAGACAAAAAGGCTGTGGCTCCAGCACACAGCAGGCTCCCTTTACCCAGTTTACTCTGAGTGCTCTTCAATATACACATTTACAAAGTTGAAGAAACAGCAGATCTTTTTTTTTTCTTCTTTTCTCTTCTTTTAAAGGCAGCGTGAACTACATACTTAAATACTGAAGTGCGCCGGGCCAAGTGTGCCACTTTGTCACCATCTATTTACACATTCCCTCACTGCTCTGCGGGCTTCACTGAGGGGATAAATCACAGAAAGTGCTGCTGTCTGCAGTCCAAGCCAGTGTCAGTGAATTACTGCCATTTGACCCCTATTTGACAAACAGCCTCAATGTCTGCACACATCATTATTATATTACAGCGGCCACTGTCCTTTACAGGCTCCTCCAAGGCTGTGGACGAAACCCTCTGAGAAACAAAGGCTTTTCATTGTCACTGTGGAACATTTCAATTCACAACACATTTGCTTTACACTGATTCAATTATTACAGCAGGTTCCTGGAAGTGACTGTTTCTTTTGTACTACAACACAGAAATCTTTAAAGGAAAAGGTCATGTAATTCGTTGTTGGTGCTTTTCTTTTCTTTTCTTTTTTTCTTCTGGTAAAGATCAAATGTCACAGTGATGTACATGCAGTTTCAGTCAATTTATGTGGCTCCGCATTGGAAGGTCCAAGAACAAAGAGGAAAAGAGTTCTCAACCCAGATCTGTCAAAAAAAAAAAAAAGAGTTTGTGACTGAAGAGCTGAGATCAGGAATCTTAATTACTGTATAGATAAGCTGCTGTTCTACTACTTGGTACGAGACCACTCATTGTATTACATCGTGATAAAAAAGTTTTTAAAATATTATGGAAATCTTACACCTAAAGCCCAAGAAGCTCAGCCAGAGGGAGAGAGACCACAGTCTGTCCTAAGAATAGACAAATGGGCAGCACGTCATGGAAGGCATCTATAAAATAGCAGCGCTGAATCAAATATTTGCTGCGACAGGCAACGTTTCCACAGGGAGTCACAAAATACTGAGCTATAATATTGACCAGCGACCCTGTCCTGTCCAATTAGACGTCGAGAAAATAATTTACTCGCTGCAAAAACAAGATATGCAAGATGGCTGCAAGAATTCCCATCTGCTTTACACCACTTTATTAAACACACTGAAGCCAATTAACCAACAGTAGGTGATTAAGACATTTTGGCAACGAAGGTGAGAAGACAAACTATACAACAGTACATTCTGTCCCCATGAGCTGGGAGTTCATCCTTTTTTGTAACCATCTGCCAAGGACCCCTGTGACAGGGGTAATCCTGGGAATAAAACTAATATATGGCACCGTAATATATTTTTATCCGATTTACTACTATTTAAGCGCTTTAATTTGTCACTGTCTACTCGACCTCACGCTACAAAAGCTGCAGTGATTTTTCCAGCATAGACTTTTTGTAGTCTCGTGCTGACACAGAGAAATGAAACATTCTCAGTAACATTTACTGTAAAGAGCAGCTGGGAATAAACGAGGTAGAAAAATGTGAGTGGTGTGGTCATCATTTGGAAACATAATTGCCACAGTATATGCCCACTACGTTTTCTCATCTCACATTCAACAAAAGAAAAAGTTATGCCAAAAGAATGTCATCTAAAACTTGGAATTTGAATCTTAACAACCATGTTTTAACAGAATGAGTTGTTCTTGTTATTTTTATGCATAATGTCTAGTTGAGTGATTCCCAACCCCTGTGCCCACGGTACATTAGTGTGCGATGAGATATCAAGTGTAGCATGGAGAATTATCCAATTTCACTGAAATGTTCTAAACTACTATTTATTCACTGAATATATTTTGCCTTTGTTCTACTGTGTTGTTCTATGTGACAGTGACACATAGAACAATTAATTATACTTCTACTAGGCAGGAGCAGGAGCAGGTAAAAACTAAAAATAGAGAAAGACTCAGCCATTAAATAAGATCTTCAAGTGTCTTTCTTCAATTCCTGCAAGTATATCACTGGTGTGTTCAATTAAACAGGCCCAGGTTTCACATAGAGTATGTCAATTGTGAATAAACTGAAACTAGAATTTTTTTTCCTGACATTTTTTTTTGTTGTGCAGCCATGGGATTTTTCTAATGTCATATTCGTATTGTGGCTCAAAAAGGGTCAGGAGACATTGGTCTAGATGATGTTCATACAAAATCATTTCCACATCATATCATACAGATTGGTTGCACTGCACACTCCATTACAATCAAATGTATTTTTGCAAAATGCATTATGTGAATGAAATGTTTGTGACAGCTCGCTTGTTTTGCACATCAACTTTGTAGGTCAACAGACCTATAATAGACCAATACAAGTGACAGCTCATTTTCACCTGTTCCATTAGGGATCTAGTAAATGGGTTTTTCTAAGAGGAAAACTAAAATGGGATGTCCACTGGGTAACTGAATCCAGCCTGATTTCGTAGGAGGAGAGTTTTTTCTTTAGTAATCAAGCTTTGACACCACTTCCAGACCGGGAAGGTGCTGTAAACACCATCTTCCTGGCAGAGAGGTACTGATCTGTTGGTGTGTTCAGCTCATCCATTTCTGTGGTGAAGTGATCAGGACTCTCTCCATTGGACGTGTCCTTGATGACACTATAGGTCAACTGCACACTATAAGAAGCCGGCTTCTCTTTGCGCTGGGGGCCGCACTGACACAGCTTTTTGAAAGCGGCCCGGAATTTCTGAGACATGGCATTGTAGATGACTGGGTTAATGGCACTGTTTAAGTAGATGCAGAGTCGACAAAAGAGCAGGAACCAGCTGTCCAGGTAGGCCTTGTCCAGGAAGGAGTTGACCACCACAAGGGTCCTGTAGGGCATCCACAGCAGTGCAAAGAGGATCACCACCACAGCCAGCATCTTGGTCACCTAAATACAACAATCATCAGTTAAAAGTTGAATCATCAAACACATTTGTTAAAAAAAAAAAAAGATAAAATTGTACTGAGGATAAAAAAAATTGTGAATGATATTGCATTGTGAGTTTGGTGTATCATTACATCCCCAGTATGTAACACTTGCCAACAGCAGTCTGTCTGGTTCTTGTCAGTGCAGTGTTCAAATGTATAAACAGATGACAAAGGAAGCTTCATTAATCTGTATTTACTGCCTGTTGTCACTTGTGACGGCTGTAGTAATTCACTCCGCTCTAATTCTATCAGATAGGGCCACTGCAAAAGTCATCAGTGGGTGGAAAAAAAAACGGATTGGTCTCGTTATTTCTTGACCTTTGCGTAATTTTCTCACATACATGGCACATTGCTTCTCTCGGTTCTCTGTGTCCACAGTGAGCTGTTAATTCAGAACACCAGAAACACTCGTCACTCGTTAGGTTGGGTGTGTGTTTGTTAACTAGGGACGGGCCATGATCTATGTTGTTGCAGAAAAAGCCAGAAGCCTGTCAGAGTTGGGGTTAAATGATCAAGAAGCTGCCCCGGGGTGCCACACCTTCTGTCACTCCAGAGAAGCCGCTTCCCATGATCTGATACACAAACGTTTGTCTCCGTCTGTGTCTCTGTCTGTCTTCTTACAGCTCAGTTGTTCTGTTTTAACCCCAGTAAAAATAATAAAAATGATAAGCAAAGTAATTTGGATATCTTTAAGTGATGATCCAAAATGTGGTTCTACTTTATCTCTCTAAAATAAAGTGTAAAAACCTCAGTAAGTCACGTTAAAAGGCTCTTCAAATCTGAGCTCTTCAAATATCAATCATTACCACAAAGACCCTGCTGTCTCTGTCACTTTGACCGAATTGACTCCTGTACTTCAAAAGTTGAACTACACTTCAAGTCAGGCAACGATTGTTAGAATGTAGGAAGTGATTTGACACTTCGCTTGACTCCATATCTGTGAAAATGAGAGATGGAAGCACCATGGTGTCAGAGACGGGGAGTTTGAGGTCAGCTGTCATCTTTGGTCATTTTTCTTTCTTCGTGCAAAGACAAAAATCAATATGTATTAGTTATACTGAAATAATTTTACTAAAAAAAAATTCTAAAAATGCTTTTTTTAAATGTTTACTAAGTGTTTATATACTAAAAGTGTTATTTCTTGGGTAAAATAAAAAAGATCTTTCCAACCTTTCCAACATTTCTTGGAAATGTTACAAGGTGCAAAACAGAGTCCAAAAATCCTCTGTCCAGTTGTTTTGTTACAGATAACTAAAGTTAAGGTGATAACCTAAGTTAAGGTGAACGTTATAATCGTTTGAACGTTATAAAGGTAATAATCAACAATGTCATGAGAGTGACATCTTTTGACAACATTTGACCTTCATTTGTCCAAACGCCTACAAACTCACTTGGTTAACAGTGGTTATACTTTCATAACAGGTTGTAGAAATAACTGATTTATAAGCACAGCTGCAGTACTTGTTATTTTCCAGACTGGTTAGACACTGTTTATTTGTCAGACTACCCAAGTTGCCCTTCAGTGCCACATACAGCACAGGTAATATAAGTCAACATCCAGGGCTCTGAGACACAGGTCTACTTCAACTGAATGGATAACTGGACTAACAGTCAGCTGTTTAATTGATTGGTTGTTTATCTACGCAACAAACTGACAATAGTTTGTTGTTCAACTGCCTAATTTGCCCAAGTTACTGACTGATATTTTGCCAACTGACCTATTGGATCACTGACTAAACAATCTGTTGGTTGGTGGATGAGGTAACACTTTATTAATTGACTTTTGGAACAGTGACTGACTGATGGGTTGACCAGCTTACTTGTCACCTGGTTTACTGGTTCAACCAAGAATTAACCCACTAGCCTGATTAATTGAACTAGGTGACAGACTAGGTGACTCTGCTGCTTGGTTGACTGACTGACTGATTAATAAGCCAACTGACTGCTTTACTGACACATTTCACTGATGAGATAGCAGACCAATGTCTGGTTATGAGGCTGCCTGTCTGACTAGTTGATTGGTTGACTTGACTTGACACCTGTTTGGACTAACTAAATTGTTGATTGATTGATAGTCTTTCTACCTGTCTCCGTGAGGCAGCGGTGGTGCTGCTGGAGGAGCTGCCGCTCATCATCCTCCCTCCCTGACTGCTCTCCTTCCTCCACTTCTTGCTGCTGCTTTCTTTGGGATCCGCGGGTAGAGGGTTCAGGAAAAGTATCCTGGCGATGAGTCCGTACAGAACAGTGGCCAGGATGAGGGGCAGCACGTAGAACACCGTGAAATCCGTGAAGTAAATGGGCAGGTAGTGACTTCTGGACACTTTGTAGGCGCAGCTGAGCAGCACCGCGTTCTCATAAACCAACTGTGTGGTGTCGGACAGGAAGAGCCACATGACGCAGTAGGCAGAGGTGAGCGTCCACACCAGCAGGATGATCTTCTTCGCCCGGGATAAAGTGCACAAAAACTGCGCCTTGATTGGGTGGCAGATGGCGATGTAGCGCTCCACCGTGAAGGCAGTGATGGAGCACGAGGACGCGTTGATGCCCAGGTACTGCAGATAGGTGATGCCCAGACACCCCACGTACCCGTACACCCACTGACCATAGAGGGCGTCGGTGATGTTGGGCAGCCCGGCGGCTATCAGGACCATCAGGTCAGCCACCGCCAGGCTCACCAGGTAACAGTTGGTGGGCGTCCGCATGTGTTTGGTGGTCAGGACCACCAGGATGACCATCACGTTCCCCACGATCCCCACCCCGCATATTAGGGCCACCAGCAGCACACTGGCCACTTTGTACTCAACAGTGTAGTCTATCCAAATGCCGTGGGTCTGATTGTCCTGCAGCGACGTGTCGTTCACTACAGTCATGTTCGGATCCAAGGTGAGGTTTTCCATCAGGGATTTGTATTAATGTGCAGAAGAATAAATAAATAAATTAGAAAATACAAACATTTAATGCCTCATGACTCGAAGTCCAAACAGGAGCCAGATGTTAGATCCTCCCAAAAACTTCCAGACGTGATCCTGTCAAAGTGCTTCTTTCTCCTCATGACATCCTGTGTGTGGTGGTGCATCACGGGTCGCCGGTGCAGATTTCCATAAGAACAAAGGCAAAACAATAACAGCAGCAGCAGCAGCAGCGCTCGTCCTCAGTGTCTCCTGTTGCTGCTGAAGTTTGCACAGAGGCGGAGAGAGGAGTGTTGCAGGCTGCGCTGCTCCTGTCTCTCTGCTCACACTCTCTACACTGACACGCAGCTCTGTGCAGAGTGCGGGTCTCACATTCAGAACAGCTCAGTGTGTGTGAAGTCACAGCGAGACTCGCTGGTTCCACTCACTGTCACCTCCTCTGAAAATGTCAGGGACTCCCTGCAGCACAGGAGCATCTTATCTGTGCAACTGGATCACTGTCACCAAGGCTACAAACAACTAGTACATCTAAAGTATTGATGTGGTAATGTGTACACACAGTACAGGTTCATCTACTACTGCTCATCAGAATAGTGATATATATATTTTTGGTGATGTATAAATACGTGATGCTCTATTTTTGTATTAGAATGACACTGTATTTAGCCTTTCATTGGTTTATTGCCATGCCCATGTCTAAAGTCCATTACAGTAAAATGTGTTTGGCGAATTTTATTAAAATTTATTAAAGAATTAAAATCTACTTGGCCTTTTTGACCTCATTGGGTGCTTATTATACATAGCAGTTATAAAGTCGTAGTATAATACCTCAGTAATTCTGCCCTCTTTAATGTCGATCTGTGATTTTAAAATGTACATACAGAATTGTGACATTCAAATACTGGCTTGGGGCCCATAGATGCCCACTTGAATGTCATTTTGGGGTCCACACAATTTTTTTTTGTTAATTGACATTAACTATCTTTGTCATAAATAACTTATATTTAAAACTTGACTGTGACTCACTTAACTGTTTTTCCATGTTATACTTCTTTAAGCTATTTTTTAAATATTTAATTTGTTGTTTTATTTATTTTGCAAATAAAATTTTTAGCCAATTTCATGACAATCTTGCTAACTTGTTTATTACTGGCCAAATTTTATTTATTTTGGCAATAACTACAGCACTTTTATACCAGTATTTTTTCTTTTAAATTTGTGTACACTTTAGTATTTTTTTTAACAAAATGTCCCTAAATTCTTTTTAAATTAGTGTTTCAAAGATGAGAAGAATATTTGGCACAATATCAATAAAAGCCAGCTGTCTGCTTGTTTTATTATCTTGCTCATATTGACCACTAATTCAACACTTGACAGGAAATTAAGTATCTGTGATTCAATCTTGTTGCTCATTGATAATCTATACCCAGTAGAAACAGCTTTGAGGGAGTCACTGAGATGACATTTGCATCAACAGATGGGAAATAAAAGTTGTAGGGACAAGCACGACTTTTAAAATCCCCTTCTGGATTTTTCCAGTCTGAATTTTGTGGCTCGGTTTGTCAGTGACTCTTGGCTCTGGCATCATGTCCATCCAGTCTCTCTTACTGCCGTTGACGGTCTGCTGAACATTCAGAGCTGGAGGATGCTTTTCACACAAATACTACACAATGTGTCTCTTTCAGTGAGGCGGTGAGTTTTTGTTTGTTTGCCACAGTCAGTCAGAGGTCAGTCGTTTCTTCAGCTCTCAAGTCAGGCTTGAGTTGCACAGTTAGTTTTAGCTTTAGATGTTTTCTATTTGAAGAAAGTTCTTGAATTTCTGCAGCAGCCTCCAGGATCATGTCTTTACTAACGCAGAGAGATGGAGGTGAGGAGAGATAGAGCCAGCAACAGAGTGATGCTTTATGGTAACCAGTTAAGATAAGACCATCTGTTCATAGAACCCTTTATTGTCCCACATCAGAGCATTGATGGCTTCAGCACAGATATTGAAAGGTTTTATGAGATAATTAATTTCACACATGCAAAAAACACATTTACCCATGTAATGGGTCTATATATTTGCAGATTATACTTACACTAACAAACACAACACATTTTGCAAGTTGCTACGTTTTTATACTGTGAAGTTGCTGAATTGCTGTTTGGGTTGTAGAGTAGACACAGGTGTGTTCCCAGAGGCCACTACTGGCATTTGGACAGGTTTAAAATTGAACTGAAATGACTTTTCTGTGTGTTTTTAATGACCTAGAATCAGAGTATAAAATAACTTCTATTAAGGTATGTTTTTAACCTTCTGAAATATTTTTTGGATTGTATTTGAGATCATTTCCATAGTAGTTTAATCTAACTTTGTACCAATCTGTATGGTTTCCATTAGACTGTGGCCTAGTGGTAAGATGATTGGGCTTATTTGAACCTCAGGTTCAAATCCCACCTTGGTTTGCTGTGGTGTGTTGAGCAAACACCTTTTCCTGGTTTTGAAAATATATCATTTTGCACTAACATGTTAGAGAGGGTTGGGCTGCAGGTCTTCTCTGGTTCTGGGCCAATGACACTCGGCCACTAAAGAAGCTGCAGTGCAGTATAACAGTAAATTGTGCAGATAGTCCTTGAGAGGAGTGGAACATAAAATGTGTGTGGTTGACTGCACAGATGGAGGACTTTAGGGTGTAACAGTGCTGTGTGTGTTTAACAAGGTAAATGAAACGTATTCATCTCAAACTATGAAACTTTGAATTTTTTTTTTTGCTCAAGTATAAATTAGGTATAGATTAAAAACCCATTACTGACTGTACACAGCAGCTGCAGCCCTTTAATCTAATATTGTACCTCCACACAGCTTTAACGACTCTGTGACTCAGTAAGTAAGAAATAAATTAAAAGAAAAGAAAATGCACCCGAGACCTAATGTTTTTGGTCCAGAGCAGAGAGAATGTGCTCGTGCAATATTGCTGTAATGTTTCATTTCCACTGTTTAACTTCCCTGCCTGCGACCAGAGGATGTTTTAATCTCCAAAGAAAGGAAATGTTTAAAACATTTCAATATCAAGAACCTGAGGCAAAAAAGTAAATTGTTTCTGCCTGCTTTTTTTTACTACTGTAAAATCCCATTGATTTTATGTAATTTAATTTCTTGCAGTGTGCAAGGGGGAGGAGCTGCGTTATCAAGATGTGCTCATTCCAACAAATGTCAAGACTTTTTTAATAGGTCAGATCAGTCAAAAGTCATTTTCGGGCCAACGTCTGTCAATAAAGTACAAAATACTGCTTTGTGTTGTTGAAAATGATAAACGAAAGACGACTGGGAAGTTGGGGTCTATTCTGGGGCAGAAAAACAGTCTTTTTGCTTCTGTTTAGTTCCTAGTGCTAAAACAAACATCATTCCCAGCACTGCCTCCAGTTTCTGCAGCAGTGTTACGGACGTTTAGTGTAGAAACAGGTGGGTGAGTTCTCAGGAGCTCTGTCCCTGGAGATAACATAAAATAGAAGAGTGCTGACATTCTGTACAGATATAGCTGCTTTTCAATGGGAGAAAACCTTCCATTCTGTCCACACACACACACATCCATCTTCACAATGCCCATGTGCAACAACAAACCGAGGGGCAGCATGCCCGTCATTCAACTTTTCATGTCCGATGTCTTCACTCCCTCTGGTGTTTTGTACAAAGAAAAGATAAATAAACAGACGCAGGTTTTAAGCCGTCGCTCAACACCAGTACAGATTGGCGTGGACGTTGTTCCCTGGGAAAGTGGACGCAGGGCGGATGATGGAATGACTTTACATTTCAGCACAGTAGGCTGTTCGGTTGTTTATACGACTGTTGACACAACTTTCCCCGGGAGATTGATGATCAAAGATTGGATCTCAGCGGTCTGCGGCGTTTCAGCTACTTTGTAAACTGTGGGCAGATTATCAGACACATCTGAAGATAAATGCTGAGATTAGCAGGCCCTTAGTGGCTGTGTATTTAAATGTCAGCAGTGGATTAAGTTCATTCTTCCTCCTTCGTCTCTATGGTCCCTCGTGAACATTTTATACTGGGAGGCCGAAATATTAACCACGTGGTATTATTCATCGTCCTATTGATCCAATCAGTGTCGATTACGACACATCAGTGCAGGGATAAATGAAGTGCCCTCCTCTGGCAGGAGGTCATCACTCCTCACAGGCTGCAGGGACCTGAGAGAGGAAAAAAACACACACACATATCACAAGTGGGTGACATATTTTGTGATTGCTGCCTGTAGGATTCATCCCCCAGAGGTGTTGGCAGGCCTTCCTCAGTAATCAGGGATTATTGATTCATAAAAAAGAAATTGGCTTCTTCTGCTGTCATATTTCATCAGTGTAACTGAACAGTTAATCCTCATATTCAGAAGGAGGATTCAAAATGGATAGTAATTAAATAAACGTTAGTTTATGACATAGAAATTGCCTTTATGGGTGCTTTTATAGATGTGTTGGAACTACAGACTGTAAAAGACAGAAAATGTGTGTGTAAATGAGAGTGGGGAAAAGAAAGAGAATATACAAGGTTGAAGGATATTTTAAGTACCCCAGGATCAGCCATCCAAACCAATAGATAGATGTAAGGCAATGGGTGCAGGCAGGGTGGTGTTGTGGAGAGGAACTGATGTACCAGTCAAAGTGAAGGTTAACACTATAACTATAACTTCACCTGTTATAATGTATAGACACTGTGGCACATTAACAGACTGATCATTTGATTGACTGGTAATTACTAGTATCACAAATGAACAAATGAGGAAATAAAAGGATGGCACAGCTACAACGGCATCAAGACCTAATAGTATCATTTCTGTCCTTCTGCCTCTGGACACAGACATATAGAAGTCTGAAAAGCAAAAATTGTTTTCTTTAAGAGGAGCTTTCTCCTAAAGGCCAATGCTGGTCTGAAAAACGAGCATCGCCGGAGAACCAAGTTCGTTTTCTTTCCTGTCAGGGTTCTCCCTCAGGACACTGAAGGGCCTTTGTAAAACAAAACAACTTCAGAAATATGTGTGTTTTTATTCATAAAAGTGAATAAACCAAAGTTGTATCTACATTATTACAATTGTATTATATTTTTATGGGAATAAAATATAGTAGAAATTTATAGTTGTGGCAATACAAGCGTTTACTGCATATACATGATGCACAACTTTACTTGAGTTCCACCAGAACTCATATGGAATATTTCATTTAATAGTGAAATATTCCATATCAACCAAACCATGTGCATTTCTATGTAAAAAAATGTCGATGACTGATTAAAAAAAGCGAACTTTATGTCTGCGTATTTCCTTGTGTCTTTATATTGCAGTGAATGACTCGCTCATTATTATGGCGGCGGGTATCTCACATATGTTAAAACAAGGTTATTCACACACACAAAAAAACCCTGTTTATTCATGTAGGAAATTCACTGAGCAAATGTTGTCTGCACGACATTTCTAGTGGATGTCTGCTGCCACTTGGTGGTTAAAGACTGTTACAGCTACTTTGAACCACAGTAGCTGCACACAAGTCTGAGGCAGATTGGATGGCAGATTTCTACTTTATGAACACAAAGATTAATTGGACTTCCTCTAGTATTAAATTATTTTTGCATTTGCCTCTAAATGTCTTTGTGTTTATAACAAGAGTTTCAGTCACAGTTTCTCTGTTGTTAAATAATCACAGCAGGACATACAGCACCGTCTGTGAAGTGAATTACATACGGCTTGTTTACTTTCAGACAGAAAAGAATGAAGTAATGTTGCATGAGTGACTACAAACATCTGAATATTTCACTACTGGACACATTTACAATGCTCAGCAGCGACCTCTATGTCGAAATAATGCATAATTCATCCTCTGCAGCTTTTCAGAGATGGATCATTTTGTTTCTGATTTAAAATTCAGGGTAAACATTTTAGAGGGAAACAGGAACAAACATTTTATGAATGGCGGCGGTGCCAGTAGATTAGTCACCGTTTGGCTCGCCACACGTTCAACAAATACAAATGACATTTTTGGCCTGTTTTCAGGATTTTCTCATTTAACTAATGAATGGAGTTCTGGCATCTTCTTGAAAAAGTTTGTCTTTTGTAACCGTTACTTTTACTTTAAACATATGTGGAAGAGACAGACTCATTACTTTTTTAGTGGAAGTCAAACATCTTATACAGATCTTTCCCATTAAAAACACCATGTCCAGGGTCAATCAACATTACCAGTGGAGACAGAAGCTAAAGCTAGGACACATTGGTCTGATATTTAAGGTTAAATCAAAGAAACGCATCTAAAGCAAAGAAATAAGGAGGACTGGTGTTCTGGTTGTCTTCATCCCAAAGGGCCACTTAAATATGGTTCACCAGTGATCATCAACTGATGGCCCGTGGGCAGAAACCAGCCTGCCAAACCTTACAGTCCTGCCCAAGACTGGATTCCAAAATATACATCAAATAATAATGTGAGACAAACTCATGGTTTTTATTTCATTTTATTGGAGTCTCTGACCATCAAGGTGTCAGTCCAGAAAACTCCTGGCCCTCCAACAAACATAACTGGTGACCCCTGCTGCAGACAATGAAAAAATCTAAATTCGTTGCCTCCAAGTGCTGCAACAAGAAGTTATTGAACTGGCAGGATACTTTTTTGCAAAGTCAAGCACAAAGTGGTGAGAGACCAGCCAGCTTTTAAAGACTTGGTCCTTTGTTCACATTTCTGTTCTTGCCAGTCTTTATTCCTAACCCTTCCACCAGTTACCCAGCTGATTGTGTAACTTCTCTACATGTTACATCTAATCATGCTCCTTTTCTCCAAACTAACCATTTAGAAGTTTGGTTTGTTTTAAAACTTGTTTTAAAAGCTTTTTTTTTTTTATCTGTACTCATTTATTTTTCCTTGTGACCCACTCGACTGCGGTCAGACACTGAGCATCTGGAGAATACAGGGCACTCAGCCAGCTGCTTTTTCATTAATTCACTTCATAATTCATCTTCCCAGAATCCTTCACTTGGCCAGGGACCTCTGTGCATCACAGTGTGATATCTGCTGCAGGCTGAAGGAAGAGCAGTGCTGTGTACATGGACACACACACAGACTATGTCCATGAGGTGTGTCTCCTTGCTCACCTCTTCTCTCACAGTACTGCTGTCCCCGCTGACAGGAAAACTGGTGCACTGTTGCAGACACATAGCATGTGATAGTGGTCTGTTGTTAACTCTGCAGAGGAGCACGGTCAGACTTTGGCTTCCCCCGTCTGTTTCTCTGCAGGAGACAGATTGAAATAGACCACAGTCTGGCAAGAATGCACTTCATAAAGCACTGTGATCCATCAGTCCATAACAAGGCAGTTTGAATGCAAAATAATCTGTAATAAAGCCTTGTGTTGTTGTTGACTGTTTTTCTCCTCTCTGTCTCCACTTCTCCTAACTCATCTGTTAAATTGAGTCTTATGGGGAAGTGGGCCAAAGCTGCTGCCCAGCCACTAGTTCCCCAAAAAAATGCATCTGTATTTATAGCTGCTGGCTGGTGCTGCTCAAAGGGAGGGACTGTCAGCAAATTAACATTCACTTCAGATGGGGAGAAGGGCTTGGAAAACCCAGGGTGACGGGGAGCTATTAAAATTGAAAATTACAGTTTACAAACAAAAAAAACCTAATGGGGTCATTGTTAAGTATTTATTATATTGAGATCTTACAGAAGACAGAGATGGACACAGAGATTAGACAATCTATCAGATGTCTGGTAAAGATGGATTAAGATTAGTTACAGTGATCAGTAATCCAACAGAGCAGATGGTACATGAAACATTCTGTGTTTCATGACATGTACCATGAATTTAGAAACAACACAGCTGGATATGAGCACAGCCTTCAAACTGTGAGTACTGTAGATAGGACCAAGTAGAAAAAACAAACCTTTAAATAAAAGAGGAGGATGAGGAGAGGACGTTCTGCTGCAGAAAGAACACAGTAAAACTGGTATTATTGATGTTCCATAGACCAACATCTACACAGGTGTTATTATGACTATGTATTTGAACAGTACAGATTGAATAATTTGGTTCAAAAGCATGGCTCAATATCACAAACTCCCAGCCCTTGGGTTACTTTTGGCCTGCAAACTAGCCACATGCGTCTGCACCTAGATGTCAATTATAATGTAATGTGAGCTTTGCTGTTAAGTTGTTGCCTGTCTAATTAGACAACACTTGCAACAGTGGCCCTAGCTCGTTTGAGTTGGAGACCCACGATTAAGCTTATTCATTCCACTCCCTCATTTAAAAAAAAAAATCTGTTTCAAACAACAATTTTCTTTTTAATTAATAAAAAGTACTATTTAATTAATTTAAGGACCCTTTAACAAGGGTATGGCGTATTTTCTACTTTTATTATTATTATGTACGGTGTACGGTTTTTGGATGCATTTCTTAAGCAGACCGAGATGTGAAGAAAATACTGGTAAAATGTGAGTCACTTTTTATCTTCTTGTGTCCGGTGACATGGATCTCACAGATAGCAGGCGCTCCTTTCAGCACAGCAGCTGAGGCAGTGTGAGTAGGAGGGACTTAAGGAGAGCTCCTCCACAGCACCGTGCTGTTGCAGAACACGAGCTGTTCTCCAGGCATTTTTTTAACTGATCAGGCGTTTCTCCGGAGAAACCTGTCCCCTCCATGTGCTCTCAGAGGCTCCACGGAGGGTAAAGCACCGGGGGATGCTGGGATAACGCGGTGAGTTATGTTATGTTCGGCTGTTCAGCGTAGAGGGAAATATAAAAAATAAATAAAATGAAACAAATAATAATTATTAAGAAGCGGCTTGTGCGTGATCGGATCCACCCTCATGCAGAGGAGCATCTCAGGTTTACTGCAGAGAGAAGGTGTGCAGGAGGGTTACGGCACACGTTTTGGAACTACGCCTGACATCACATGCACATTACTGTTTCTTTGAGGCAGATCATTCCTGGTACATTCCATCTGCTGATTCTTTATCGAGCGCTTTTGCAAAGCGTTGATTTATAGTATAAATGCAGCTTTGAATTGAAAAAATCCATTGTGGAATAGAGTTAAAGTGGATTGCATGGTGATCGTGGCTTTTACGTGGATTGTTTTCATAATTGGATAAGGGAGAATTTGGCTAATCACGGCCTCTGTAAGCGCCTTTCAGGGACCGGCACGGATTTATCTTAACAGATCTAATCAACTTTTTAAAATCTGCTGCTGCTGCTGCTGCAGTCTCCAATTAAACAACAAAGTTATGTTCCACACTCAGTTTCTCGCACATCGTTGATGAGTGTTAATCGCGTCATTGTAGGTGTGATCTAATTAAGATGCATCATTTCACTCAGGGACGTGTCTTCTTCTCATTAGGGATGCTGTGGAGTGAAAACACCGTGGGTGGAAGGCTCAGAGTGAACCAGCGGGTGGTGACAACCGAATGGCTTCCCACGAGCTGCTCTCCGCAGACGACGCAGACAAAGAGTCGAATCCCCCTCCTGAAGTCCATGACCGAGTTCCCATCAGGGCTCATGTCAGAAAGTCAGGCGGATCAACAGGAGGAGCGCTCCCTGGAGAGTCTGTTGGTGCGGCGGGCCACAGCTGCAGTCGTGGTCGTTATCTTTCAGCACCAAGGACAGCGTCGCGGAAAGGCGGAGGCGTGGAGCTTAAACCCAGTCACAGCCGTGAAGAGAAAGACGCCGGAAAGTCACGATCCTGTGAGGAATTAGAGACATTTTTCACCAGCGGTGATGAAAACGTCACCCTGCGTCTGTCCAGCCCGGAGACGAGTTGCAGAAGTCCTTCGAGGCCCGTGCGCAACGGCGAGCCTTGCTCTGAAACCTTCCCTGACTTTTCCTTCATGTCTGAGGATGATCTCTCCATCACGGAGAGCTCGGGAAGCTCTATAGACTACGGCTTCATCAGTGCCGTCACATTCCTGGTCACTGGAATCTCCTTAGTGATCATTTCCTACGCGGTGCCTCGGGATGTGGTGGTGGACCGTGACAGCGTGTCCGCCAGGGAGATGGAGAGACTGGAGATGGAGAGTGCTCGGATAGGTGCCCACCTGGACCGATGTGTCATAGCAGGACTGTGCCTACTCACGCTGGGTGGCGTGGTGCTCTCCATGCTGCTGATGGTCTCCATGTGGAAGGGGGAAATGTACAGGAGGAAGGTGATCGCGTACTCCAAGCGCTCTGCCAAACAGTACGGCTCTATCAGTCTAAAAACCAGGACCAGTCCCAGCCACTCTTCCGTGCACTTGTCCCTGGAGGAGGAAGTGGAAGAGACTTTGGCATAAAATGCTGCAAAAATGTTCGAACTGTTTATGTCCTACTAACGACCACAAAGTCAGTCTAAAACACCAGACATTTATAATGCAAGGGCAACTACTGCATTGCCTGTTCTGGAATTATCTGGAGGTACAGTATGCAGGAAGTTTGTGAAAAAAAAGTTCCAATTTATTACAGAGCAATTAAACAGTTTATATTTCAGATCACAACAGTATGATAACTAAAGGGTATCTGTCTATAATAGTCATGTCTGTCATCTGATACATTTCAGGGATTTGAGAGCCACATCATAAAGAGAAATTGGGCAAATAATGGAAATACTGAAGAACAACTGCAGATACTGAGTGACCTATTTTTGTCCTTTCAAAAACTCCTGCATAATCTACCTTCACCTTGGCGCTGCACGATGCTTCACAAAGTAACTGTCTAAATCTTTGTGTCACGAAACCAGCTTTATCTGTTTTTATACTCAAGATGGAATGTCTCAGAACCTGCACTTGCTTTTAAACCAATTCATTTTTTATGCAAATGTTTCCAAATGCAAAAAGAATACCATACAGAGACACTATTCTCAATACTGTGGAGGTCAGTCCTCTCCCCAGGCAGGAGGCTGGTTATATGGAGGGGTTTGCAGCAGTCGCTGTCCTCCTCCAATGTAGCAAAATCAGCTCAGTGGCCCACGTGGTAATATCCAGTGACAGTTCCACTCTGGTGCAGTGCTGAGGTAAGCTAGTAAGCCTGGCGTCATGTATCTGAGGGCAAAGCACTACGGCAGGTTGATTGTATGAGCAGGCTGACAACCTTGTGGAGACACCTTGCTGGTTTGCCCTGTGTGACCTCCTCGTCTCTTTGCTCCTCTGTCCTTACTCACTCTGATGTAGGAGATCATTTCCTGTTTGGCAGATGATACATGGACAGCAGCAGGGACTTCAGATGTGTTGTTTCAACAACATGTTAGACGCATGCCCTTGCACAGAAACATATAAATATAGGACAACTGAGGGTTTGACTGTATTAGACTGCATTCCACCTAAAAAGACAAAATGCTGACACAGTTGTACATGTCTTCACTCAATCACAACCCAGAATCAGATTCTGTGATTTCAGAATAATGCCGTACTGTACAAACTGGAAATTGAATCAAAATCTGCTACAGCCATGCCATATTTCAGATTGAGCAAAAGTTGAATTGTTCTGCTATAATTTTAACCCACTTTAAATAATTTGAGTGGTTCAGATTTAATTAAAGTTCTTCTTATGTACCAAATTATCGAGGGCAACAGTTTTGCACCAAGTTAAAAAAAACAAAAAAACAAAAAAAAAAAAAACACAGGGGAACAGTTTGTCCTCAACTATTTTTACAGGATTAAATTTGCTGTCCTTTGAAAAGGTCTTGTAGCCTCGTCTTTTGTCATCCATCTTTACATGTACAGTAAAATCACTGTCTGTGTGCAGAGACACACCAAGCCTTTGAAAAATGCTTTGACAAAACTGGTGCCTACACTGAAAGACACTTGAGGACGTCAATGACACGAAGCTAAAAGAATCTTGGACAAACACAGTCAAGTGCCTGTGATATTTACTGTTATTTTCCCTTGGAGAATTCTACCTTTTATTTCGTATGTAGGCCCAGACCTTGGTGACACATTCTAATGTCACAGTGATGTAAATACATGGATTTAGTTTGTTAAGACAATGAGCAGCATAAGCAAATAAAGCCATGATCAAAATGTCTCCTGTTTTTTTTTTCTATTTCTTATGTATGCAAAATGCAAACATTTGTCATCTCCACAAGTAATCCTTGTTGAAACAGCGACACTGTAATTCTTATTGATCACAGGCGAACCATCAAATTGAGTTCATACAGTATTTGTATGTTAATGTTGCATTTCAACAAAACATTCACCGATCGTTTCAGTTCAGTGACCGTGTTACCTTGGTTTCGTGCCCTTTCGTGTTGCAGGCTCTGTGACTCCAAGGCTTTCATTCAGAATGACATGAGTCAGCCTGGGCTAATGAGATGCATAGAGCGATCACTCTTTGGTAAACAGCTCCAGGCCACACTCTGGCTTTGCTCTCATTCAGCTGCACTCCTACTGTGGAAACTGTCACGATATTGTAAGCAGTGGCAGTTTTGGAGCAGACAGATTGAACAATGTATTTTGATTGAAATGTAACTATAATTTGAATTTTTAATCTTTTTTTTAGCTGTGAATGCTAATGGAAGGCTGTGATGCTGCAGCGTTTTATTTTCTGACCTCAGGTGACAGGCATGCATACACTATGCTATAAAACCTACATTAGTCTGTGTAATGGCAATAAAATACCAAATGAAGACATTTCCAGGGAAGGCAATAAAATCCTAATGATACAAATGCAGCAACGTTGCCCTGTTCTTTTAGCAGAAGCTGTAAATCCACAACCAGGATTACAGATGTGAAATGAGGGGTTCATTTAGAAGTTTTCCTGGTGCTGGCTGTGGAAACACAAAAATACCCAAGCTGTGGACTCTGATTTAGTCATCTGTCATTTTTTACAAACCAAATTATCCATAATAACTGTAACTCTGTCCAAAGAGAAAAGAAGCAACCGACAGCTACGAGCTGCCAGGAATGACGAATGATAATTCAGTACTGCAGCAATGCAAGTGTTTCACATGACACACATGCGGTACGCTCCAGCATCTCACTGAAGTGACATCACATGTGAGAGCATCACAGCAGAGGCTGATTGCAGACACCACAGTGATCTATAAACACAGACTTGCCTTCTGTGTGCAACACACTCGACTAAATGGTTTCCAGTTTCCTATTCTTTTTCAACCCCCGCCTCACCTCGCCCTCTGTCTGTCCTCCTCTGTGGTTGGCACTGAGTTTCACAGCCAGCACCAGGCTTTCCTCTCCTGCAGCCAACTAACTGTGTTTGCAGGATTTAATCGGGGATTTGCTTGAAGCGACAGCATTTAACGTGCCAAGCGCAAGTGTTTTTCCAGAGGTTTCATGTATAAGCTCTTTATCCGTACACAGTGCGAAGTTTAATCAGACCATATTGATATGGTTGGCTCCTGTGTGACTTCAGGTAAGCCCTGAGAGCTGCTGCCATCAGCTAATTCTCAAAGATGGTATTGTACTCCCTTATATTTATGCTAATCCTCATACATTTGTGCTTTAATACCAGGGAATTTTGGGAATGTCGACGTACTGTTGAGTTGTTCTAGCCGACTGAAACAGACCTGTGATGGTGCATCAGATCTAACTGTCTGAAAGGTGTGTGTGGCAGTCTCCATGTGACATAAATAAATTAAAATTTGATGCCATGTTCCAGCTAGTACATTTTAAGAAAAAAAACAACATCTTTGAAAACTTTTATGATACACGTTCTCAGAATTACACAGAGAACCTTTTAAGTTGCTGTTGGGAGATGTGCGTTTTAGAAGTGGCCTGAATGGACTTTGCTTACATTTACTTTGCATACTGAATGAGTTGCAACTACATTAACATTGTCTTTTAAGCATTTTGTTCACACCCAGCGTCCTTGCAACGGGTTTGCATCTTGTCCCAGAATCAGAGTATAAGGAAAAGTTGGCACAAGCCAACAGGAGCACACCACACAGGCATATTATCAGCCACCAGGTCACCTAAACCCAAAGGAAAACACAAGGGTTAATGTGTCACTGCCCAAGCCTTTTTCTTCAGCGATGGCTAATGAAGCCAAACTCTGACTTCAGTGTCATTATTGTGTCCTGTCACATCCTTGACAGGTGCATCAGTCTTTGTTCTAATCCTCTAGTTCAACCCTAATGATATGCAAACAATTGCTACCAAAATAAATAAAAATTCTTTTAAGGCCAGAAACAGTGAGGTCTGAGAAAAAAATTCAGAAAGATCAGATTCACCTGACAAACATAGCACCAATTCACCCATCCATCAACACATTCTTTCTAACATACTGTTCTTTTATATGCAGGACCAGGCTGTGAGGTCCTGCTGCGTTTCTCCTGCCAGCAAACATAAGGTGATGACATGTGGTCACTGCACCTGGTCAGATGATACTGCAGCTCCTCGTACAGAACCACAATCTGTCAGAATAGAACATGTAACTTTTACATGGTTGGGATTGTATTCCATTTGGACACCAGCGTTGTCTCCTGTTCCCTGGCTGCTAAGGCAGAACCTAATGTTCTGAACCCCGTTCTTTCTAATTTACTGCATAAACAGAACCATGTTTTCTTGCACTCCAACTTTAGGCATAAAAAAAGAAAGACACTCTATCATTGTGTGTATTAGATATATTCATATCTGCAGCTCCATTTTTCAGTGGACACTGAAGCCAAAAATGTTTCCACTCCGATTGATTGCTGTGGAGGAGAACATGAAAGCCAAACTCCTCGGGGACATTATTTCATTCCTGGTTCCGCCCATCACTCTAGTCAGACGGGATATTTATAGTCATTGTGGATTTTGGGAAGCTCATTGTATTGTAAATGTAGTCCACACAGCAGTCTAACATGGACCACTGTTTCTTTTACTGCTGCTACAATATCCTTATTCTGCTACAACCACCATCTTCCATTTTAGTTTTATGGCATTAAAGTGAGTATGTCTGTGCTAGTGTCTGAGTTAAGATCGGACTGTCAAAGGGCCTCAAAACAAAATGACATTGAAATATTTCAATATGCCCTTGACATTTACGAAGTAAGAGAATTAAACATGAATCAATAAAAAAAAAAGTTAAATACAGTTGCAAAACCTAACTGTAATGTCGGTATAAGTAAATTAGATAATAAATCAAATAATCAATAATGAATAAAAAATAAATAAATAAGTGGATGGGAACAACTAGGTAAGGATATAGTTCTACCATAGCCGAGAAGAGAGCTTAAAGCTAGGTGAGAACAAGGTTCAAATCTAGCTTGATAATAGCTATCCATTAGAACTAAAGCAACAAAACACTTCCCTTCAAAACCCAAAGACATAAAAAAGTAAATTTACTAAAAACTTCAATCTTTCAGACAGGGAAGTGGTGGACTGGAAGCAGATTTGTGTCTGGTGCTGATGGTTATGGGTTTAAGGCAGAGGTCACATTTGGTTGTGTGTAGTGGTGTGCTGTATCAGAATGACAATTACTTTTGCTTTCACTTTACAGTTAACCCTGAAAGTACCAGAAACTGAAATACAATAACGGCAACATAAAGGCAATCAATAATGATATCAAGTTAGGCTAAAAAGAGCATATTAAGTAGTAAGTAAGTAAGCAGGTGGTCATAGAACTGCCCTGGAACTGATTATTATTAGATACTCCCTCCTCATCAGTACTGGCTTGGCCTTGTTCTTTTTCTCATCTCACCGTTTTGCTCTCCGTGGCTCAGCACTTTCCTCTGCTGCTGGTAAAGAAGAACTAACCCCTGTTCCTACAACAAGAGACCACAACTAGCTCTGGTGTCAAAGGAATTGATGTCTCTGGTCAGCTGTCCTCTGAATGCTGGCACTTACTCTTCAGGAGTGCTCAGTCACTCATCCGTCGGTCAACCTCACTGATGCTGCCTCATCCCACAGCTCGGCAACTGGACCCATCATAACATGACACAGTCTCTGCACAGCCACTTCCTGTGTGTGCTGTAGTTGGCACAGTAAAAATCACTGTATTAGACACAACAGCACCGTGGCAGCCCTGGTGGATGAGAGAGGAAATTTGAGGTGATCTTACAGTAAAACCACTCAAACACTCCACACAGGCCTCCCAGGTTACATCTCTGTCTCCCACAGTCGCTGCTATTATCCACTACAGTGAATTTTAAATGTGCTCTTTTTGCACAGGCAGTGGTGTGGTTACCCCACAACAACAATACTAAGCTTGGAATTCCTGTCAGCTAAATGGCTCCTTAGCTCAGCTGATATGGTTAATGTTGACTTATTATAGTAACAAATCACAAGGTCATTACACCCATTGATCACCACACTGTTTAAACCCTGCTATAAATCACCTGGTGCTGGGCTCCATTGATTCAATTTGTCTCAAATTGCTAATGCAGTTATGTACGGCCGCTCGGTGTATGTGCGTTTATCCCTCTACCTATAATCATGGTAAATAATGACTGCCTGCTATTTCACATCAGCAAACATTGTGATTCCGTACAGGGGATGGTAAAGTGACTGCAGAGCAAGAAAACAGAAAACACAATGCACTGAAGGCTGAGGAGTTAAATAACATTGAAATTAAAAAATATTTAAACTCAAACCTTTCATATTGAGAGCTTTAAATGCCCTCTTTAGTTAGACTTCAACTAAACATACAACAATTCATATTAGATTATAGGTCAGCCAAGCAGCAGCCAGAAATATAGCAACATAATAAAAGTGAGTGGAAATGCAGTTACCCTATATGTAGTATACATGTACTACACTATCAGCAGAACAAGATGGCAGCATCCATATGCAGTAAAATCATTTGGACCATGTTAATGATGGTGGTCCTGCTGTATATAAGTACTATAGTAATACTACAGGAATTTTAAAAAGTTAATAGAAAAATAACACAGCTGACAATTTGTCATTTAACCTGACACCCATTGGACATATCAGAGCTAGGCTAAATTTGGTCCATTTCAAAGGGGCTTGAGAGCTGCACATGGGTCAGGGAGCCACAGGTTGTAGACCCCTTACTCATGGCACCATGTTTATAAATATTCAGAAGTTATTTTCAGTAATATCCATCACTGCAGTTATTCTTGATGGACATCTGTCATTCATGAAGCTCATTTTCAGACCAAAACATTGACTTTGATTCTCCACCCAGAGCAGTTTCACTTGACACCATTTCTGCCACAAAGACATGAACTTGGAAGTCCACGATCAGTCTGCTTGTGCATGTCAACACATGTCTTTTTGTAGCTTCCACTTTGAGAAATCAGCTTTGTTTAGACTCTGAACCAGGCTGCAGATAAAGGATAATCTCTGGCCAAAAAAAAAAGGCCCAGACAAAAAGCAAATGCTGCAGAGCTGATTGTCTGTGCTGCATTTCATTTGCCTCCAGTGTTGGGTTACAAGCGAGCATCGTTCTGCTGAGAGATGATACAGGCTGGTGGAGAGAGCCAGCAGGCTGTGGAGAGAGGGAAGATGCTTGACCTGGGGACTGCACACAAGGGGAAATACATGAGCTTACACACATGTACACGGTATATGGGAACAGAGACAAACTGTGTGCACATGTGTCTGCATGCATGTGGTGTGTTATGCCATGGTTCCAGCTGGGCTCTACAAAGACCAGTTTGCTGATCACTGCAAGTAAAGTGGGCCATGTAGCCCGTGTAGAAGTTTTGCAAAAAATGGTGTGATTACAAAACTTTACTTCAGTAAGAGCTCATACAAGTTTCAGTAAATACAGAGGCATCAAAACTTGAATGTAAAAACATTTAGTATCGTCACCATTGCACGTTATCCTCATGTGCATTCTGACGTCTCTTTTCAAGTTTCAGAAGGTTTGGGATATTTGCCTACAACTGGATTACAACCCCACCTTCAAGGGGAGATGTTTGGCTCTTTGAGCCTCATCATTGTGCTCGGAGTACATGGCAAGATTAATGCAACATAAATGGCCTTCTAACAAGAAGACAACTGTAATGTGCAGAGTTGCAGGCATGACTCAAATTAAACTTTCACACCACAGGAATTAGGTGGAGAAATGTATTAAGTAAGTAGTTTGCTATACAGATCCGGTCCAGGCACGAAGACAGAGACGGGGGAACACAAGGAAACTCACAACAGAAAGCTCTGAGAAACAGTTCAACGTGAAGGGAGGGAAGGAGGGAGGTGTATACACCCAGGTCACCAGGTGAGTTTAATCAAAAGACAAGGACAGGACACAGGTGAATGTGGTGACACTAATTACCTAATTAAGCTCATCACACATCTGGTCTGGATTTTCCTGTGCTGACCTAGCCTGGAATGACGACTATATGCAGAGGCCTTTACAGGTAAATTAATCGTCTGAACAGATAACTTCTAGCAGCTGTGTTGTACAAGTCAGAGATTTAAAGGCGACAACAATAAATTCACATCAATCAAATATAAATAGAGACGCAGCAAAATATCACACTACACACAGTTTTTGTGTGTACAAAACATTTTACAATAACTGGACACGTTACAACCTACGCATTTGTTTTGCTGTGAAATACACCGCTATTACATCCCCAAGCTGAAGATGGCAGCATTAGACCTCAAATCCCAAGCTCCAGCCTGAACCAACAGCGCTGCACTCAGTGCCCTGTCAGCATGGAGAGCAAGATGCTGTGAGAATAGGCAGTGTGAAATCCCGGTATTACAGTACTGATCTTTGTAAATCACTGTGGAAATATATAAATGTACAGGGTTTAAGAAACAATAACCAGAGTCTGAATGTGGCCTCTGTACTCACTGCTACATGGAGTACTACTGGACTGCCACCAGTATATTTATAAATGCAAGAACACAACTTTCCTATAGTAGTTCAGCACCCTGGCCTCCCCACTGTGGTATTGTGCAACATCTGGCAACAACGCTGTATTGATTTTGGCTGAGGTCAGGAAGAAGTGGCGACTGGACGTAGGGAAGGGGTGGGACGGTGGCGTGAGTGTGAGTCAGGGCACAGGTCTCTGTGAAGGAACTCCTGTTTGTCCCTGTGAGTGTTTACCGTCAAGTGCTGCTTTAACATTCAAGGAGAGCGAGTGTTTGTCCCCGAGGAGATGAGACAGCCAGAAACTGAATAATTCATTCAGACCTGTGCTTTCTTCTCACAACAGCAGGAGTCCACGACCAGCTTAAAAAGAACCAAAAACACTTGGTTTTGTTTTCTTCTTAACATTATAATTTGTTCTGTTCTGTCTTTTTGCTGCTACTTTCCTATCACTATCTCTTTCATTTATCAATTTCACAGAATCTATCTTTCTGCCTTGGGAGCCAAAGTGTTATGCAACTGATATAGTGATGATAATGCCCTGATCTGATGTCTTAACACAATAATACCTCCACCCTGCTCACCTCCCTCCCCCTGCTCCTCTCTCCATGTCTTGCCATGAGGGGGGCTCTTTGCGGGAAACTCTAGCATACAATCGTATCTACTCCCATCTCAAGTTTCCCAGTGGCACCGTGCACCGATGCAAAGCAGTGCATTCTCATCATCCTAACCTTCAAATCTGCTTTTCTCCCTCTTCATCTCAGTAACTCTTCACTCCTCTTTGGCTCTCTCATGTTTCTCCCCTCTGCTGTCCTCATCCGCCTCTTGCTCCACCTTGCAATGATGCAGAGGAAAATCAAAAAGTGACAGAGAGTAACCGAAATCATCGTGTAATTGTGTGACCGAATAGATGTCCCAGCAGGCAATGAGTCTGTTCGAACTGTCAGGGCTGTAATTGCCAGTGTCTCTGTTCTGCTAATGATTTTGGAATTTCGCTTTGATAAGGTTTTTACTCCACGGCTGATTGATACAATGTCTCCTCCTTTTTATTGACAATTTCAAAACATGTGCTCGTGTTGGAGCAAGGGTTGGTCTTCTGGGAAAAGAAAACGTCCTACTGCCAGAGTTTAATACAGAGAGTGTGAACATTCAAGCTAGTTCAAATAGAACAAGACAATTCAGTTCAACAAGCTGGATGAGATTTTCCCTATTAGTGGAACAACTGTATTCTATAGAAAGGCACTTACATGCAGATGTACATGACAGTATAACATTACGTACTTACAGTACCATTGGGAGTAATCATGTGATTATATTGGTGTTATTGATCAGCCATTTCCTTTAGTGTGACCTACAGTCCTGTACCTTCTAAACATCATTTCACATGTAGCTGGAGAAAAGAGTAGCTTTGTCATCTGGCTGAACTGCATGTGTTGACCAGAGCAGTGATTCCCACCATAGGGGCAGGGCTGAAACTTCTATTCCATTTTACACCCTCAGGACTTCATAAGTTATTGAAGACACTAATAAGGCTGTAGTTTCAGTTGCATTTTATTTCAATTTAATTTACAGTCCATTTATTTAAAAATATTTACACATTAATTTAACATGCAACCTGATAGTTTTTTATTCATCTTCATCAACAGATATTGAATCAAGCCAGCAAAACCGTAGTTAACCATAGACAAAGCCTCAATATGTTTTGTTAAACCAAAGCAACCTGTATATTAAGTGGCTTCAGGGTTGCTGATGAATGTTTGGTCATTCAGACTTGATCAAAAAAGGGCAAAGTGTTACAGTTTTAACTGATGTGATGACTTCATTTCCAGTTATCTTCCTCAGAAAAAATTAAGATGTTTTTAATTGTCATGTTAATCACCTTTTTTCAGGTTAAACCTCAGGGCAAAAGTTTGCAAAGTAACTTTTAGTCACAGCGGCTGCAGTGGTATAAAAAATGGGGGTTTCATTCCTTTATTCACCTTCTATATTGGATGATGTAATTTAAAATCCTTAAAGAAAAAAAAAAGCAGTGCATTGACTGGCCAATATGGATTGAAAGTCTCTAGATTCAGTGGCTCGACAATGCCGATAAATTACGTCACCCCTTGCGCGCTGTGATTCATTTCTTGCTGCGTAATTGAAGCAGCCACAGATGATGTCATCCAAGCACAGGACTTCCATTCAAAAGTTGTTTTGTTGCTGCTGTACATGACCAGGCAGACCGGCCCCATCACCATAACTCTAACAAATGGACTGGATACGGTGAGCTGAGAGCATACTTGGCCCCCGCTGAGCAGATTGGCAGGAGTTTAACATTCACTGAAGGCTTCCCCCTTGTCGTCCCTTCCACACACAGCCCTCCCTACCCCCTGAGAAGGCACATCTAAGTTTAAATTACAGACAGACTTGGAACCTGTTCAGATGAGTCATCTCAGGGTGACAGCGACAGAAGTGACTCCCTCTAACCCCATCGGTTTGCAAGATTGATAATCTATTTGTTTTTCGACTTAAATGAAATGGCCACTGTTTAATCACTTTTTAATTCCTCCAAGTTATTTTATCTCAAATCTTATATCACACTTTCTGTCTCTCCTCAGCTCTGGCCAAGGTTACAGAGGCAAGAGTAGTAAGTAAAAAAAAAAAAAAGCAAGGTCGAAACAAGTCTGTCCTGTCAGGACGTCCTCTTATCAAGGTCTGTCTTTGGCTGGGATATGAGGACGTTGGGGCTGCTCTGTGTGTGTGTGTGTGTGTGTGTGCGCACGCGTGTGTTGAGGGTGGCGTGGAGGTGGGAGGTGATGCAGAATGACGTGATCCCCTTCATCCCGGCCAATAAAACAGAGTGGCCAGTAAGATCCGGATTCGTACGTGCCGTCAAATTCAATAGGGTAGTGCTTTAATGTTTTCTTTTAATCAACCAAATTGCATTACACACTGCCTCTTCCATGAGGCTCCACAGTGAAGAGGATAGTCGGAGCTGCAGGGATGACGTTTGGTGAGCTGGAAAAGCCAAGGGGGGCATTTCCCCGTATCTAAAATGAAGTTTTGACTTTGTGAGTAGGGTAAATTTCTCATTCATTAAATAATGCAGCATTTCCTCTACCGTTTGGCTTTGAATGAGTAGGACCAGGCCTCAGTGTGAATTCAGGGTCAGACACGATGTACAGACAGAGTACGTCATCCTGGTAATGAATGCCAGCTCAACATTGGCGACTTTGAAGGCAGAGCACTCTCCAGGCTGGACGGCGTTCACCATCACCAGCGAGCCCCTCAACACCTCCACCTCCCTCCCCATCATTCTCACTGACCTCCTTCATTCTCATCTTTTTCCTCCCCAACCAGCGTGACTCACCCTTTAGACAAGGTACATCAAGAACACTCTGCTAAACAGTTCATCTTCATTTCCCACTTCACTTTACCTTACGCAGCAATCCTTCAAACCGAGAGAAATTGTGAATCTGCGTCATGTACCGTGGTAATCACCAGCCACCGGATCAGCTTGCTTTCCCAGTCCACTAGTTGCTGGGATTTTAATTCTGATTGGGGTTTTACAGTTGGATGTTTGATTCCACCTTGGATCAGACCTCGCTGTTGTGGCCTGAAGGATTAGGGCCTGCTGCCGCTGTCGGCCGCTCATCCATGAACAGATGAAACTTCATAGAGAGCAGTAATCCTCCAAAGAAGGGTGGCTTTGCTACTCAGCTGCCTCAGCCACAACTCTGAAGCCAGCTGACATTTAGCATAATGATCAGTCAGAGTGGCCGAGCGTTTACACGCAGGAGAGGTTTCCCGGACACAATTAGACCACAGTCCCTGCATGAGCTAAAAATGAATCACAATAAACAATACCCCGTGTATTCTCACTGTCCATCTAATGGTAAACTGTGAGTGGAGTGACTGGAAGAAAAGCCTCTTGTCTCAGCTGTGATATTGTGGTGGGTTATCCACAAAGCTCCAAATGACGACCACAGTTGCAATATTCCACACACTGTATAGTCTGGGATACAGGCTGCATTTTGGTTTTTGCAATCCATCCTGTTATGAGTCATTTATGGTATGCTATTAAGCAAAGGGGTTACCCAAGTTTTCCACTGTTGGAGCAACAGAGTGATTGCAAGAATGTAATTTCTCACTCCATAATATCACCATTAAAAATGGGGCTTTACTTGCAATGAAGTGTTGAATCCATTTTTTTTCCTGTCTGTACAAAAACTGTCTAGAACAAGTGGAATTATACACTAACAAGATCAACATGCTTTCCCAACATTGTGTAACCTCAATCATTGCTGGTATTTAAGCATAGATAACTAATGAGCTCTAACAAGATGAGCAAGGAGGATTAGAATTTGAGTCCATTTTTGGATCAAAACAAAGTTGAATGTTTTTAAAACTATTTGAAAGAAGAATTTACCATTTGTGTTTGGTTCAACGATGGTAATTCTCTTTATATTGACACAACACAGTGTTACTTGTACATTTTGAATGTACGTTTATCTCAAAGTTCACCACTTTCTGTAGCTTTCCCAGAATTAAATTAAAATACAATTCACTCCAGGGTTCTCTATGGATCCCTGTGTCGCAGGGTGGGAGATGTTTAAATATTATGCTGCTACTTTAAACTGATCACATTTAACAAAAAAAAAAATGCATGCACTAAAAGTATAAATATATCAGCACCTCTGGTAACACTGAGGTGCATTGAACAGTCAAGGCCGAAGTAAACTGAGGATACTCGAATAGCTACACAGAATTTGAATACAGTCTGACTAAAACACAGCACAAAAACACAGGTTAAAGGGATGAACCACACGAGCTACAACGCTAAAGCTGCAGCACAAAGTCAACAGGCAAGAAAAGTGGTCTGAATAAAACAAAAGCAACACATGGAAAGAAAACAACAGCAAAAGCAACTGGCTCTGAACACAACACAGGCAGACAACAAACTGGCAAACAAAAGGGACCGTGTGCTCAGGTATTTATACTGAGAAGTGGGCGGGGCTAATAAGACAGGTGGAGAGGATCAGGTAATCAGTGGAGTAGCAATCACAGGAGGCAGGAACAGGTGGATGCAGGGGTGTGGACACAAGGACTGAAAGTAGAAACTTCAGAGGTAAAGACAAAATCCTAAACAGTAAATGAAGAGATTATGAAAAAGAAAAATACAGTAACTTTTCAATATAAGGCCCTTTGCTTGCACCAATATAACAAGTTCTTCCCGGTAAATACTAATCTTGATCCTGATTTTTCAGTTGACTGTGCTAGCGTTCACATGGAGAGTGCAATGTTTTGTGACCATGTTTTCAAAGTTTTTTAAATAGTTATATTGTGTGTACTGCACATATATTTCAACAAACACAATTTGCGTCACTAGCTGTTGCTATCGTTAAACCGAAAAAAACATATTTTATGAGCAAAACATTTTGTTACCTGCTGTATAAAGAGAGGATTAAACCAGTGAACTAGTGATCTTTCTGTAGGGCAAGGGTTTTTTTTTTTTAATTGTAGCCTTAGAATCAATAAATCTAAAATTTAGAGACTGCCAAAAAAAAAAAAAGACAGCAAATAGATTTAACAAACCTTAATAAAAAAAAAAGCATAAACAAAAAGAAAAATGCAACAGTTTTGTGTCTTTGAATTAAAATCCAAAACAACATAAACATGCTGCATGCTTCTTGATGAACCAGCCCTCCTTCCAGGTCCAGGTCCTTCTGGATGTATGACTTCAGTTGCAAAGTCACTTTGACTCCTTGATTCAGGAATCAGGTAACGGGATCAGGCTTCATTAGGTGACTTCAGCTGAGCTGGCAGTCGGCCAGGTGAGCTGGACGCACAAATGGACATTGATTTTTTAATAAGGACCACAGAGCTGTCAGCCAACCAGGCCATGGTGATATCTTGTCTTGTGGGAACAGTCCTCTTGTATGGATGGCCTGACAGACCATAGACCCCTTCATCGCTATCCACCTCACCAAAAACTCTCTCTCTTTCTCTCTCTCTGTGTATCACACACACACACACACACCACGTCCGGCTCCATGCTTTCACTAAGGAGTCAATAGTTATTACGCCAAGGCTACAAATTAGCATCAGCCTGCCAGGCACGGTGCTGGAACAAGCCTGTGTGTATGATATTTTCCTAGAAAATTGGCATTTATGGATTGAGACAAGTGGTAGTATTAACAGGTGACTGTTTTCAATGTCTGTGGCTGATCTACATGCCTCTGTGAAGTGTTTTGAATGAGTTCAGTGTAAACCAGCGGTAATGCAATTTAAAACTTTTGTTGTAGTTTCCCTTATTTCGTATATCTAAGTCCAACGGCAATTCACTGAGCAGCCACAGCATTAAAACCAGATTCCCAATATAAAATGTCTGCGTCTGTGTTATTATTATTGTAATAACCTTTCATCCCACTGAAAAAGACAATCATTTTGCCAAATGATTTGAGGTCGACCAAGGTTATAATTTTGTCTTATCATCAGATCTTCCATATTTGTCTAGTTTGGGCCTCTTTGACCTGAGTCTGAAGGAGACCTAGCCATAATAGTTTCCATCCATCAGACCACCATCCATCCATGCCCTTATACTCGACCCAAAAAAATAAAGATTTCAAACAGAAGGATTTTATCACTAACCAATAGTTATAATCACTTCATAAAATTGGCAGTTATGTTTCTTTGCGCTGAGGGAGCATTTACACAAGAACACTTCAAGACACCCATTATTGGTAACAGGCGCTCGAAAGCAAAAATCTTGACCTCTGTTCAGTCTGTCCTGGAGAAAGAAACTGTCACAAAGCCTAGAGAAAAAAAGTCCCTTGATATTGACTTTATTGTCAGACGTAAAAAATGCGTAGTACGTGCTAATTAATACAACATACACAACATAACAGTCACCATTTTGCGTTATTCCTTGTCAACTTGTTGTGCTTGTTGTCAGGTTGAACGCAACCTTTGTTTTTGTTGTCATTTAGCAGGATGGGACCCTTCACCCCACCCACTTTTGTAAATTAGATTCAATGTATGAGAGGTAAGCTGCGGAAAAATGACGAGGCAGAATATGAAACTGGATTAGAATAAAAGTGCAACAGAATTATCGTCACATCACAAAAATTGGCATTTTAGCCACGTGGAGAAGATTGTTCATTACATGGTCGAAACCGCTGGTATTTAGAGGCGGTGGAGACGTCTACTGACATGTTGTGACTGTGTTGCAACATAACAAGCAATATAACAACAACTGACACAACATTTTTTTACACTGTCTTTCCAGAGTTTTCTAATGACAGATAGCACATTCTTGAAGCGGTGTCCCATTTTATAGGGATTGATTTTTATCAGTTTCTAGAGGCGGTGTATAAATGTGAAATGGAAAACGCCTACAGTAGGTTTTCCAGTTATAAATTATTTTTTTAAAAAGTCTCAATGTAAGAAGCCAAACAGTTTGGCCAACTAGGTAAAAATGAATGACAGTTAGTGCATGGACCCCGGTTTGACCCTAAAAAAAAAAAAAGAAATCTGAGAGATTTCAAGGAAAACAATCAACCAAAACTAGAGAAGCTGGGCAGACTTATTTGTAACCAGAATACGAGGCTGTTCCACTTTCCTTAAAAGCTTGTCAGTTTTAATTGCTGGTGGTTGCTGTGCACAAATGTCTGGGTCTGATGTAAGAATATTGTTTCTGCTACGGCTATTACAATATGTCACAAAGTGTAGAACACACTCAAATATAATTCTTCTTCTTGCTGGACTTGTTTTCTTAAATTAGCCATGTTTAAACAAAGACGAAGGAACTCTTATTATACATGCCCAGCAAATTATACATTTACATCTTATATGATGAGATTGTAAACCTGTCTGATAAGCATCATCGAGCGAAAAGACTATCATTTCGCAATTGGACATTGCTGACTGTAGTGCAACACTCAACAACTAATAAAACCCCCACTGTTTGAATCGGATATGGAGGCTGTAAAAGAATCACCTGCAGGCTTTTGGAACAACTTTGCCCTCACCCATCAATCAAGTCCCAGTTTTGTGCTCACTCTGGCCAGATCTTAATTTTTCTTTGAGCTTTATTGGAATTTAATTTGCCAAGATAAAGTTGAAGCCATTAATCTTGTTCTCCCAGTGCGTCCACTCCAATAAACTCAATGAAAAGGGGTGCAAGTGTCTCTTTACTTAAGGGCTCTCAGAAGTGAATGAGAGAGGAGGTATCTGCTGACACAATTTTGTGCTTTGCACAAGTATTTTCTGTCTGAATAAAATTGCAGCAAGAAACTGCTGCAGATGTTTGAAATACGGACAAGAACCGCAGTGTTAATCATTTTCACATCTCTCAGCCCATAAGCCTAAACCATTGAGGCTGAAGGAGCTTTCTGCACATACTGCATTTGTAGGAAATGGCTGAGCTACTGTATGGGTAATTCTTACTCAATCGACCTACCATTCCTCCCAGATTTGGATTTTTCCAAATATTTTTCAGCAATGCCAAACTCTCATTTAGCTACATCAAGTCCTAAAATAGTTTTATTGTAATGATTTGCATAAGTAACAGAATAAATGTCACAGCCCTGAGTGTTATTAGCAGGCTGTGGTGAGCTGACTTCATGTCTAGAAGAACTTTCTCTGCTCTGTCATCTTTCCTCAGTCGTTTCCCTTTGCATCTTGGGCACGTAGAGCCCTTCCACAACCGTCACCATCAATTACCGTTGGCTTTCGCCTTCATCCACATAAGCACCGCCACCACGTTCGCTGTGACATACACATGCACACCCACACTTTTGTAATTATTCTGGATTCGCTGGCCGCCTTCCCAGAGTGCCAGCCTGAGAGTGTCAAGTTGTGGGGTAGCGAAAAGTTCTGGTTCCCTAAAACACGCTGTCACTTTTCACCTCGCAAACATCACGTCAACCGCACAGTCGTTAC